AATTAAATTAATTTAAAGATTTAATTTGATATTCATGTTTTTTAATTTAAAATTATTATTTTTCCTAAATAAATTTTAATCAGATGTGGAGTGTATTGCTCAACCCCGTTTCTCTTCTTAAAATAAATTTGTTTTTAAGTAATAAACAATTGCTCCCAAATCCAGTAATCTTTTTCTCCTATAATTCAATATTAAGATTCTATAAGTAAGTATATTTGATTCTCTTGATTTATTATTCTTGCCTAATTCCTTTTATCTTTATTATTAAATCTAATATTGTAATTTTTGGATCTATTATTAAACTTATTATTACAGTTTCTTATTAAATCTGACATTAAAATTTTATATCTTGATTTTCATATCTTGGGACCGATAAATAGTATAAATACAAACGGTAAAGTGCGCGTCAGTCCTGCCTCCTAAAGAAAAATTGGAGTCCCGACCAAAACGACGTCGTTTCCTTAATCCCCAGTTCCTCCTTCCTCTTGACCCTTTTGCAATCATCTGTGTCTCCATCTCGATTGACTCCTCCGATTCCTTCAATAACAAATAACAGAACAGAACAGCCACAATCCAACGAGCTAGAAGCCAAAAGTCGTCACAACTCGGCATACAACCGTATAAAACTACCACGACAAAGCTCGAATCAATCAAATGCCTAAAACTGATGAACTCAACCAAATGGAAATCTCTAACTTCAGTTCAAAAAAAAAAATGGAAATCGAAAGAAATTCCAAATTAAAAGAGGGGGATCAAAATAGCATACCGATTTGCGGAGAGAGGGAGAAGTGGAGGAGAAATGGTTTTGAAGGAGGGAATTGATGGAGAAAACTGCTTCCTCGAATTGCTGTTTCTTCCCGAGCTGCTGCTGCAACTCCTCCAATCGCTGCTTCAAGCTTTACTCAGAACAAGATGACATTTTCCCTGCTTCTTTTTGCCCCTTCTTTTGCGTTGTTCTGTTATGTTCTCTTAACCTAGGAGTAAGATTTTTTCTGACTTTTTTTGGGTAGATGGAGCTTAATAAGAAAACAAAGCACTTACCATCCTTCGAAGAAGCAAGGGTTACCATCGGCGGAGATGATGAATTGTAGCGGCGGAATGGGGTGAAAATAGTGGGTTTTGGGTATTAAGTCGACGGCGTGGGATTGCGTTTGAAAAATTGAAGGAATCGGAGTCGTCCATGGAGATGGGAGGCGATGGAGATGGAGACGGAGATGATTGCAGAAGGGACGAGAAGGAGGGGCTGGGCATTAAGAGAACGACGTCGTTTTGGCTGGGACTCCAAATTTTTTTTGGGAGGTAGGACTGACCCGCACTTTACCGAAATACAAATATATATATATATATATATATATTTATAAGTAGCAATTAAAGAGGAAAAGAGATGTCCATCATTATATATTTTAGTGATTATTTTCTTGTAAAAACGTGCTTGAATACGAAAGTTTTGAAATTTATTTTCGAACGCTATTTTTTATATTCTGAACAATTTTTTTATGTCAAAAATAAATAAATAATTAGATAAAGAAGGAGTTGCTATACAGCAACACTCACGCGACTGCGTGGGGGTGCTGCTGTGTAAGGATGTGTGGCGACGATGTCATCGCCTCGCTAGTTTGAGATTTGTCAATAGTATCAACACCTCTAACGCTGGTAACAGATCAGGTGTTGACACCTACCGATTTATTAAAATAATATAAATATTAATAGATTGGACCGGTGGTGCTACAACAGTACACTATGCCGTGTGGTGCGTTTACATGGTGCAATGTGACAGATTTAGGGTGAGGTTGATAAAGTGGTGCCAACACCCTCAATTCAGGTAAATAAATAGGTGCAAACACCTATATAAAAAATTTAATAAAGCCCTTGTAAAATTAAGTATTATTAAATTAAATAAATATTAGTAGTTTTGGTTTGTTATTGATTAATATTCAATGTAAATTTTCAGTTCTTAACTATTTGTACATTTCAAATTTAAGATCTCAAATAGTAAATTTATGATTTTACCTTTAATTTTAAAATGTAAATTTAAAACATGATTTTTGTCGATTTTGAGATAGTAATAGAATTAAGAACCTATTTTAGTTTAGTTATCATGACTAAAACTCATTTTAATTTAAGTTGAATATTAATTGATTAGCAAGCTTATTTATAAAAGCTTTTAATATATGCTGCTTGGTCCATGTGATATATGTTTTCTTGAAATAACTATATTTATTTGAAATGTACTTGCTAGACTCTTTTAGTCTCCAATGTGGTCATGTTTTACTTGTGTCTGCTGGTAAGAGGTTTATAGATGCTAGCACATGTCAACATGTTACTTGTGGAACTGACTCATTCTCGTTATACTTATTATCCTACTTGCGGCATTATACATAAGCAATCTTATGCCCGCCACTAGGAGGTTTATAAACGCTGGTCATAACTTATAGAAGAAACGTCTATTTCATTTCTTATTTTATCGTTTTCTTGATACTTAATTTACACTTGTTGAAATGCTTGATTTTAAATTTATAAAATGAAAGGGGAACCATAATACTCACTTATTGAAATTATATCTCATGTTTTTTCTTATCCGTCATTTCAAGTAACAATACTAGAGATGTTGGAGATCAGGGCATGTGATAAATACTTATTAAAGTCAGTTTGGACTTAATTGAAACTTGATTTAGTCATTTTGGACTTATTAGAAAGAGGATTTTATTTGCAATTATTACATAATTTGACTTTAAAATATTTATTTGAACATTATTTAAATTTTTTTAAAATTAATAGAAGCATTAACAGACATTATTTATTTGTATTTGATTATGGATAATAAATTAATTTGATTTTGAACCCGATACATTTATGGATTCCACTCACAAGTATATGACATTTGTTTCGCTCTAAGGTCTGAGGCGCGACAGATGTCAAGAGAGCTAGCATCTGGACCTAGTTGTTCACTTAGGTAGGTAGGCTTCTAACTCAAATTATTGAGTAGCTTGAGATGCCTGGCCCCTGAACCTTTTAAACTTCTACATCACCTTGTTTGATGTCAATCCTTAGGCTGGCTCGGACAAACTAGTACAGCATCTAGACACAAACTCCTTGCTAACTCAAAAGCTGAAACAGGTGCCACCATCCTCTATTTTAAACACAAGGCTTTAAAAAAGAAAAAATGTTAGCGACTAGATTAAACTCAAACTCACATATTGCTTGTTCTACTTCGAAAGATGACAAGTTTAGAACTACAAATATTTATGCTATCAATTCTCCAACTTATCTCCTCTTTCCTGACTTCTATAGTCAGTTGTTTCATTAGAAAAGAAGGAAAAACTTTTGTTGATAGTTGATACGGACACTAATTGACTTCCACCGAAAAACAATGACCCATCATTCTTCGGTGTTTCCACTTGTACCCACTTTCCCCCTTCCAAATCCAGCTTATATGTCCAACATCTCCGGCGTCATATCCTCCTCTGGCACATTCCTTGCAACAAGCAAAACCTCCCCATCTGATTGAACCTGATGAAAAGATTGCATATATTTTTTCATGGACAACCACTCTCTAAATTCCAGTTATGAATAACACCAAGTAGCTGTCAGGACATGGAGATTATTTTCATAGCACATAATATCCTTCAATACAATATGGTTCGGAAATCCTGAATCATATATAGAATCGTGTCCACGAAATGTCTCCATTCTTATAAATATATAAGCTCTTCCGTTTCATAGTAGCATAACAAAACCACGGCATAATCTCCTCCACAAGGCTCCACCTTGATCACCAAAAACCATTCACCCTGCCAGAGAATTTTACACCGGTCTCCATTATCTTCCTCAGTTCTGGATATGCAAAACAGAGGTTTCAATGAAGGAAGTTGTATCCGGGCCTCAGTCAAATGGTTGAAGAGGAACGGAGAAAAAGTTGTGATAAAACCAGCCACCCATATGAGGATCCGATCCAGGC